ATAAACCCCCCCCCCCCAAAAAAAAAAAAAAAACAAGATAAGGTTGACTCTCCCAGAATCAAAGCAAAATTCTTATCATGGAAACAGAGCATACCTGAGAACCAAGTTTGCTTTCACGAGCTATAAGGACTAATGCTCCCAATAGTAAGCATATTCCGTGACCCCAATCCCCAAACATCACAGCAAAAAGAAACGGAAACGTAATAACAGTATAAACTGCAGGATTGGATTCCTGGTATCTAGCAACACTGCCATTAAATTGATGTATTAGTGTCATGTCTGATTCCACAGTCATACATATGCAAAAACACACACACATGCACAACATATAATTCTGCAGCAAATTAATATATAATATATCCCACTAATTTATCACATAGATTAACAGAACCAAAAATCAACCATGATGCCAATAACAAGCAGAGATGTTTACTTGGTTTTTGGAGGCATGTTCTATACCCACAATTAGTGGTAACGTAGACATTTGTAGACCACAATCGGTCCCCTTGCTTAACTATAAAAGCTATTATATGAACTAGGCGACAAAATGGGGCAAGTTGAAGCTAGTTTTATGTTCCTACAAAGTAACGTAGATATTTGTAAATCAAAATACGAGGTGAATGAAAACAACATATTTAACAGAGAGAGTTATTAAACAGAGTGATGATTGTTCTACACATTAAGGATCTTGATATTCTCATAAAAGAATGATTCGTATTTTAACATCATCTTGATTAAGAAAACCAACAAAATTAAACAAGAGATTAAATAGGATTGATAAATGAAGAACTTAAAAGAGAGTTCCTGCCAAAGGAAAANATCATCTTGATTAAGAAAACCAACAAAATTAAACAAGAGATTAAATAGGATTGATAATGAAGAACTTAAAAGAGAGTTCGTGCCAAAGGAAAGTAAAGCTACAAAATTTTGACTTACCCGTAGGCATCAACAATTTCCTGAAATGCGTTAGTAAAGCGGTTGGTTCTGAAGTATGTAGGAGGTGACTCCACAGCATCCATCACATGAAATATTGTACCCACTTGTGAATTACTATCAAATGTGGCACGTTGCAGAGCCTCTTGAATCTATCATGTCACAAACATATTCCTGTGAAATTAATGAAATAAAATGGAAGCAACTGCAGATACCTTACCAAATACAAGAATAATATACAGGAGTTACCTTAGCTTTTGCAAAAATTGGGCACCAGCCCTCTCCAACAAGACACTTTTTTGTTACATCAAAATTCAGCATATTCAATGTATCGTACACTGCTTTCTCCCTTCTAACCTAGAAACGGAATGATAAAATGGAATATAAATTTAACGACTCCTTACATGTTATACTATTCCTTGCTCCAGGACTTGAAACTTATGATAGCAACGTCTTACCATGTTCAGCCACTTTGTAAGGTGAAATCCAATGGAGGTCAGTGCCTTATTTCGATGACGGATTCCAGCATCCAAAGTTGCTTCCAATTCAGATAGACGTGATAAAACCTGCAACCAAGAAGTTGAACTTCAAACGAAGGGAAACCAGAATGACTTATCCAGATAAGAACATAAGAAAGATGCAGTCCATCAACAATGAATTTTGACACACAATTAAGTTTGCTTTTTTTGCACATCTATTTAATTCATGAGAAGCAGAGAGTTGGTCCATTTAACAGCATACTTCTCGAGTTATTTGCCTCTGTTTGGTTATATCTTCCGGAACAGGATAGCAATTAGCGCCAAATGCCTCACAAATTTTCAGTATTTTTGTTTTTGCCTGCTCGCCTGAGAAGAACACGACAAATATAGTTTTCTCAACCTGCAAAGAACACCCACCGAATCAAATTCATTAATCTAGCAATTGTAGACAACGTCTTCAGGAAAAAAGGTAAAGCAGCTGACATACAGTTAGAAAAGTTGAAGAGTGTCCACATGTTTCAGATATTGAAGATGTTACCAGATTTTTCTTTTTTCGCTGTTGTTTTTTTTTTTTTTTGGTATAATTGGAAGTTTTTATCAGAATGTTAGTAGATAGATTCAACACAGAAAGATGTAGCATAAAGGAGGAAGAAGCTGACCATTTCTGCTGATACAGGATCCATGATTTGATCATCTGCAGGTGCCTGATTGAAGAGCATATTGCCCCTTGTTGCACGAAACAACATCCTCTCAAACCTAAGGGCTTTGTGTTTACATATAATGCCGCTAATAAATCTTAAACCAGATTGATTTGATGGCCCAGGTTGCAACTCCTGCAGAACCAAGAATCATTAATAGATGAGTTCAGGATTATAATGTATCTTGTGAAACATCATTTAAGAACCAACAAAACAGAATATAATTACCTGTTCAAGTAAAGATGCTGTATCCGCGTAGTGATCATTAGAGTACACATTTTCATCTAATTCTCTCTCCTGCTCAATTGCATGACTCTTGCTTGAAACAAGGAAGCCAACTGCCTAGTATTGCCCATGATAAGGCATAGGAAGTGTGCATAAAATTAGGTTTCGAGGGAAAACTGTGCATGCATGAACGAATTCATAAAGGGACACCTCAATTATCTGGCACAGATTTCATCAGCTACAATATTCATACTGAAACATACAGTTAGGTTAAATATAATAAATATGATTTATCTTAAGCTTCATACGAGTTAATAAGGAGAGAAAACATTTATCCAGATCACCTGTGAGTGCTTCCAAGCAAATGTTTAGACACACCAAGTCAGATATCAACCAAGGATGACAACCGAATATTTACATTCAGAGGCCATTTGAAAGCTCACATAGTTTTAATATGTTTGAAAAGCGTATTCATGATTACTCTTAAGCAAAAATGACCATCAAATAATTAAAAAAAATATCTTCTTCGACAACACAAAGAGGACATATAGAAAAGGAATAACTTGAGAATAATAGTGAGAATAACAAATCTATGCATGATATCCTAGTCATGCCCACATTATAACTTCTAATATGGCGGACATATCTCTGATGAAGCAACAGACAACAAATTTCCCTGGTTCATTAACGTACCAAATGAAAATGAAAGAGAATATACCTTCTGCAGTACCATCTTGAACTCTAGCAGTTCGTTATAAGATTGTTGTAGTTTCTCACTGTTAGCATTCATTTCAGTTAACTCGTGTTCATGCTCAGCGAGTTGTATCTAAAATCAAGACAGAGATAAAATATTCCACATGAGTGATGAGACTGCTAAACAAAGGCATTCTTCCTTAGAAAGGATGGGAAAGTTGTACAGGGTGTTGGGTTTTTATAACTAATAATCAGGAAAAATACCTCTAATTCTTCCAACTCAACATCTGGTTGTGAAGCAGGATGAGCAGAAGTTGGCAGACCAGCTTTATGTATTTGATCTTTGAAAAATCGTAGCTTTCTAGACATCTCAGCACATCTTTTTACCTGTGAAAAATTTATCAGACATGAAAATGAAAAGAAAATAGGATACTTCTATCGCATTACATATACTTATACCTATTTGATTTATAAATACACAATATCAACAAAATTAATGGATTATGCTAATTTTCAAGATCTGATGGGTTTGGTGATAAAACATGTCCCAAACTAAAATAATATGTGAACCTCGCATAGGCACTGCACAATGGTGTATTCAACAGAATTCGCTCATCTTCTCAGTCAAAACAATTTCCACGGAAAGTCTGTGAGTATCCAGGCAACTCCAATCCTCCCTTAAATTTGTAATGAGGTTGTATTGAAACCACCAGAGCACTGAACACAAAGACCAGCTCAAACAACACAAACAATTTCACTAAATCCAATGAGCACGTATCCATCACGGAAATATGTGTATCTGAGACATATCTTACATGTACCCAATAACGAAAAATATATTGCTAGTTATTCACCATATACAAACAGTATCCATTGCATGTTCTTATGTATCCGATGAGTGTTGTTATCCCATATGCATAGGATATGGATACTTCACTGGTTCACCCCAGTCAAAGCATCCATGCTTCAAGGAATTCCACGCAAATATACGAAGTTGATATTGTAAATGGTTGAAACACGAATTCGAGTCATGCATAGTAAATCAGTCTTACTATCCAAACTATTATTTTAAGCCAACTCATCTTTGAAGTTTTCTGTATTATTCAACAAAGATCCATGCCACTTTCTCCAAAGTAAAAGTAAAATCAACAATTTCACACGATTCAAATTGATCCCTCAACATCCAAAACTTCCCTCATCTTCATATACACAAAACTAACATGTAAAAGAAGACAGAGAGTCTAAGAGATGGACTAACACAAAACATAAAGGCTAGTGAAGTCGCAGACTTACGTTTTCTTGTAGCATGCAGTTTGAAAAAATCGTTGATCGGTTAGCTGGGGCATCATTAATATTATTGGTTCAACTAACTTGGGGAGCACAAAAAACGTGTAGAAATGAATGAATTTCTCTCTTACTTACGGTCTGGGGAACCTAAAGTATGTATATGTTAATATACAAATGAGTTCTGGCCATGAAGAACACTATTTTTCTTTATGTTCCGTTCACTTTTATTGCTAAGGCAAGAAACTGATGCAACCACTTTCGTGCAACAAATTTTATTGAATTTGGAGCGATACTCAAAATATGACATTTTAGTTCTGTTATGAGTGTCCTATATTACAAGCATAAAAGGCAAACCATTCATTCTCAGTCAATAAGATATCATCATGAAAGCCCTTTGGTAGATAACAACAATTCAGAACCAATACCTGATTAACAAACGTTCTCTGGAAAGGACTTTTATCCATGTTTAACTGCCAAGAAAAAAATTAGCAGTGAGTTCATCTGATTAATAATTAAAAATAAGCAGGTAAAATCGAATCTTCATCTAACTTGATTATCACAAAGTAATGTGGTTACGGGGACAAAGTTAAATTTCAAAACCTTGTCTAAAATTCCAAGAGACCAAATTTCGGTAAAATTCCCTCCAAAAGTGAATGTAATATAATACACAACAACTCCGTCTAGTCGTAAATTATAAGGGTTAATTACACTAAAGGTCCTCAAAATATGAGATCTGTCTCATTTTGGTCCTAAATATTTCAATTGCATCATTATGATTCCTGAAATATTGAATATATTTTTATATGGTCCTTCAAGCATACAACGTCCAGATTGTTAACGATTTTCTTTCATAAACTTGTCACGTAATAGCTAAATATGGACAAAAAATAATTTTGATAGCTCTTAAACAAAATTTAGATAGCTTTTGACAAAAAAATGTGTAATATGAATAATTTTTGACCAAAATTTATCAAAATTTGGATAGTTCATAATTAAAACTATGCAATTTAGGTAAGTATTTAATCAATAATTGAGTAAAAATTTGGTCAAGAGTTATCTAAATTATTTTTTTTTCATATTTAAGTATCATGTGATAAATTTATAATAAAAAATTGTTAACAATCTAGACACTGTCTGCTTAAGTNATTTAGGTAAGTATTTAATCAATAATTGAGTAAAAATTTGGTCAAGAGTTATCTAAATTATTATTTTTTCATATTTAAGTATCATGTGATAAATTTATAATAAAAAATTGTTAACAATCTAGACACTGTCTGCTTAAGAAACCATATAGAAACATATTCAATACTTCAAAAATCAAAAATGATGCAATTGAAATATTGGGAATTAAAATGAGACAAACTCAATATTTTGGGGACCTCCAATGCAATTAACCAAAATTATAAATAACACACTCTAGACACATTTACTTCAAATCCTAGAAGAATTCTAGAAAACCTGATATATCATCGAGGAAGATTATGTTTAAAGTTAAGAAATCTCATTGAACTAGAACCTAGTCCAAAGCCAACTGTTCCACGAGGTAACGCTGCGATGTTCTCTGAAAGTAACTTTTACTTATCAAAAATAAAGAAGAAAAGAGAGCAAACAACCATATGTATAAGTGCATGGAAGAGACATCAGTCACGCTTTTAGTCATGTAACTGAACATTTACCTTATCGACAAATTCCACACATGGATTCAAGTCAATAAATTCAGATCTCTTCACACTTTTAGTCATGTAACTAAACATTTACGTTATCCACACATTGATTCAAGTTAGTAAATTCAATAAAAAGTGTCTCCCTCAAATCTCTATGCACAAAGCATAAATGGATAACCACCAGCCCTTGCCTTGCTAATTTACCACCTTCCTACATCAATTGTGATGGAACATTTTCTGTGATCAAGGGGGACGAGACACGTGTCCTCGACATATTGACCGTGGAGTGTTCTTTGGACAACACGTGTCCTCNTCCCTCAAATCTCTATGCACAAAGCATAAATGGATAACCACCAGCCCTTGCCTTGCTTATTTACCACCTTCCTACATCAATTGTGATGGAACATTTTCTGTGATCAAGGGGGACGAGACACGTGTCCTCGACATATTGGCCGTGGAGTGTTCTTTGGACAACACGTGTCCTTGGCACCTCGGAGCTTCCTACGAGTAACACGTGTCCTCGGCACTAAAAGTACCTCGGAGTCCATGGCATCATGTCCGCAGAGTCCTCGACATCTTGTCCGCAAAGCACTCCCCACATGACACGTGATCTCGACACTAAAAATACCTCGGAGTCCACGACATGTTGNGGAGTCCATGGCATCATGTCCGCAGAGTCCTCGACATCTTGTCCGCAAAGCACTCCCACATGACACGTGATCTCGGCACTAAAAATACCTCGGAGTCCACGATATGTTANGCACTCCCCACATGACACGTGATCTCGACACTAAAAATACCTCGGAGTCCACGACATGTTGTCCGCAGAGTCCTCAACATCTTGTCTACGGAGCACTCTCCACATGACACGTCATCTCGGCACTAAAAGTACCTCAGATTCCACGACATGTTGTCCGCAGAGTCCTTAACATCTTGTCCGCGGAGCACTCTCCACATGACACGTCATCTTGGCACTAAAGGTACCTCGCAGTCCACGACACGTTGTCAGCGGAGTCCTCGACATCTTGTTCGCAGAGCACTCTCCACATGACATGTCATCTCGGCACTAAAGGTTACCTCGAAGTCCTCGACATCTTGTCCACGAAGCACTCTTCACATGACATTTCATCTCGACGCTAAAGGCACCTCGGAGTCTTCATCACGTGACACGTGTCCTCGGCTCTCATAATTCCCTGAGGAGACTTCCATCCGACGTGTGTCCTCGACGTCTAGACCTCCACTCCGCTAAGGTGTTGGCGATCACCTTGGGACTTGGGTTATGGCAAATGATAGAGTTCTTAGAAAAGTCAAGAATGATGTCACCACATCAGAGGTGGGAGTAGCTCTTAATCATCAAACCCTCTTCCCAAAGTAGTCAGAATGACAAGATAGGCAACCTGGTGACCAATTGAGAGAGTCCACGAAGTACAAAGTCTAAACGATGTAATCTCCTGGATGGCAAAGAACACAAATGCCCCCACGCATGTGCCGCCACAACGAAGGACATCAAATGATCCCTCAGAAGGATGTGACACATTTATTGCTCGACAGACTCCGAGAAGAGTGCATTAAATGCTCGGGGATCCAGGCATTAAATGTAGAGGTTTCTTTTGACATGACAAGAACGGCACTCTGCCCTAGGACTGCGCTCCACTGGTTGCCTTCCAACTGGACCAATGGGAAGCCTCTTTTTGACGGGACCCNTGACATGACAAGAACGGCACTCTGCCCTAGGACTGCGCTCCACAGGTTGCCTTCCAACTGGACCAATGGGAAGCCTCTTTTTGACGGGACCCGTCTGACAACAATGATGACCTTCATGGAAGGTATAAATAGCACTCACAAATGCGGTGTAAAGGAATGCAAAATTACCTCTCAAGAATGACAAACAGTGTTTTCTTCTTCCCCTCTTGCAAAAAACTGACTTGACCGTCGAAGGGATACACCAGAAATACTCTAGCGCCCTTTCTAACCCCTCATTTGAGTGTCAGGATTCGCTGGAAAACGCTCATGCACACCGAAATCGATCGGACAGCTGGAAGAGCAATTCATCTCCACTCCTTAAGCCCCCTTGGGCCTCTCTTTGCCACCAGATCGATTCATCACCCCTCCCTTAGGCCACTTTTGGCCGTTCCTTTGCCGCCGAATCGTCGACTTTCAAGGTAAAAACGAGTTTGACAAGGGAGAGAGCTGTTTTTATTTACTTATTGTGCAAAAATCAGCCCGCACAAATTGAAAACCTAAAACCTGACCTCACTTCGATACCTTAAAATAGCAATCCAACTTGTGACATATTCATGTGCGTGCGTATTTGAAATCTAAGCTCTGCTAATACTTATCCAACAAAGATCATTAACTATTACAAAAATAGAACACTAGTAAATTCAAATTCATATATCTAGAGAGACGCAATTAGAGAGAGAGAGAGAGAGAAAATGGATCTGAGTAGGGAACGTACGTCTCGGAATTGGAGAAGGCCGAGTTGGCCGAGATAGGAGATGGCTCGATGAGCGGACTCGACGGGGATTATAAGCTGAACGAAGGTCATCTTCTCGGAACGCATCAGATCCATTGCTGGCAGATTGTCTATGAACTCCATCGTCCATCAACCGAACACAGCCCTGCGATCAGTGCTTCCAACACAATTAGGAACAACTAGATCTTCAGATCTGAGTAAGAATTGAAAAAAGGACACACACTCTCTCTCTCTCACACACAGACAGTATTTAGGCATCCATTTTTTGTGGGTGGAGTTTCAGTTTGTTTGCCATTGGGCAACTGCCACTGGAGTCGAGAACTTCGCGTCTTTTTTCATATAAAATGAGGATTGGAAAACACGCGATAAGATGGTCAGCGTTCAAAAAAAGGAAGGAGGGTAAAAAGGTCAAAAGATTAATCACCGTGTATGTACTTTCTCATCACCGTCGATTACATTTTCACGTAGTTCCCTAATTTTATTTTTAATATTTTAAACTGATTTACTTTGGTAACGTTTATAATTTTAGTTTTTTTAAAAATGAAAAACAGAATTAGTTTTAGATTTTCGTTAGCAAAAAATAAAAATAAAAAACGTATTTTGTTGCTTTTATAGTTGTAAAAAAATTTTAAAACAAAAACAAAAGACTCGTTTGGTTATAACACATGTAATTTTTTTTTGTTTTGTGACCAGCTTGTATACATTAACATAATTCCATGCTATTAAAAAGTTAGAACAACAATCCATTTTTTTTTTTTAAGAAAATTTTATTCTATGAATCAATGAATTACAAGAAGAAAACGAATTGAAAAATTCTAATTACAAGAAGTTGGCTGTAATCCTTCAAGAGACTAAACCATATCACTCCTATCTCATCCCAACTGCCCGGTAATCAGTATGCACAAAAAGCCCATGCTCTCAGATAGACCACAGACTGCCTGCAAAATGCAAACCAAGACTGAACCAGCTGCTGATAAACCTCCTGCACCATTCCAGCTTCAATGCATCAAGAAACAGCTTCATACATTGCAGCATAAATTCCAGCACATCAGACTACTAGAAAAGCAGAATAATAGTACTGCAACCAAAGAAGCTACTCCACCACCATGAATACCAGATTCTGCATGCACACTCCATCAGCAACTATAATCAGCAAAAAAAATCAGCAANAGACTGCTAGAAAAGCAGAATAATAGTACTGCAACCAAAGAAGCTACTCCACCACCATGAATACCAGATTCTGCCTGCACACTCCATCAGCAACTATAATCAGCAACAACTCATTGCGTTCATTCTCATTTTTGCTCATTATATAATATTAAAGGCACTATGTAAATTACATATAGTTTTGACAATTCTTGTTCTTGATTTTCATCTGGGGTTTGCCTTGAATCTCATATTTTTGTGTAAATTTCTGTAATCATTTTCGAAAAATTCAATTGTGACAGCAACTTCTCTCAGGCACCAAACTAAAAGTACAAAATTCACCAAGAGAAAGAAAAAGAAATAAAGGACAATGCATTTCTTGGGTTCTAGACCAAACTGGTCGGTCGATAACAGGCGTGGGCCAATTTCAGAAACAGAGATTAGGAGAACATACCCAAATACAAACTTATTCCGTTCCATATTTTCGAAGAGTGCCTAAGGGAATCACATGACACTTAGTGAATAATTGCATTCAGAGAAGTGTAATAAATGGAAAAGCATTGCAGAAGCTCAAAACAAAAACCACACACGCTTCTTATATACAAATGCTTGCGACTCATGATTTTAACTGAACAAATTAAATAGTATTTCAACTATTTCGCCATTGCACTTTTAAGATGACACAAACGATCTAAACAGATAGAGAGGTAAAGCAGACCAAACCGAAAGTTAAGTCTGATTTCACTGAAAACCACAAGAGGGATTCGATTTTCTAGAAGCAAATACCATACAGCTAGTGCAAAAGCAAAATACTCAGATCATGAACTGTGAGTTTTGTACAAAAGCAAAATACCCAGATCATGTAATGTGGGTTTCGATTTTGTTCTTGATTTTGATCTAGGTTTTGTACAGTGAACGACTCATTTGACTTGGTGTTCTACTTGAGAACCCAAAAAAAACAAAAAAATACAGCACAACACAAAAGCAAAATACCCAGATCAAAGACGAAGATTTTTTCCTTGATGATGGAAAGCCCTTCACCGTCGAAGACGAAGATCCGTTCACCTTCACCGTGGGCTGAGAGAGAGAGAGAGAGAGAGGGGGGGGGAGAGGGGGTCTGACGGCGGACAGATACACAAACAGGTTAGAGGGCTGGGGTTTAGCTTGATGCCTGCTATTTATGGGTGGGCAATAAGTGTATTTTTTTTATCCTAACAAAATTCGATCACTTGATCTCTCAAGGCGCATTAAACGTTTGTGATTTTTTCAAAAACGACCTTTTTCCGTTTTTGAAAACCGTCCATTGCTTTGAAAATGATGACATTAAAAAAAAAACAAAAACAATTATCAAACAAATTTTTTTTCCCTTGTTTTCTCCAAATATGAAAATAAAAACTTTACCAAACGGGACGTAAATTATTCTTGCGTTTATTAAAAATTGGAAAAATTATATTTAGACCATTTAAAGTTTGTCACTTAATCATTTAGATTTCTTGACATTTAAAATATTATATATAGACCCCTAAAATTTGTACACACATAATCTTTAGACACTTGCCGTCAATGTCCGTTAATAAACTATATTCAGACCCCTTAAAATTTGTAGGCGTGTAATACTTAAGTCCGTCAAGTTTAAAATGTTATATTTAGACCAANAGTATATCCATTAGTAAACTATATTCAGACCCCTTAAAATTTATAGGCGTGTAATACTTAAGTCCGTCAAGTTTAAAATATTATATTTAGACCAAAATATTACAATCAAATATAAAATATCAAATATTTTAAATTTTAAAATCAAAATTTATATTCTATTGTATCATCTATTAAAATAAAATAAAAAATTATTTTTTTCTTAAAAAATCGTAATTAAACTATTCGCTAGAATAAAACTAAAAACTTAAATAAGGATATAAGTTATTCATAATAGAACATGAATTTTACAACTAAAATTTATATTCTATTATGTCATTTATTAAAATAAAATCAAAAATAAAAATTTAATTTTTCTTAAAAAATCATAATTAGTATACAATTATAATATTTATTCGAATAAAACTTAAAAATCAAACAAGGGGTTAAATTGTAATGGACACAATATGTTCTAGCTTTAATTAGGGGAATTTGGGAGTTTAAACGAAGTCAAACTGTAATGGACGCAATATATTCTAACTTTAATTAAGGTAATTTAGGAATTTAATTTGGTCGTTTAAACTGTATACTAATTATAATTTTTTTAAAAAAATTAAATTTTGATTTTTAATTTTATTTCAATAAATAATATAATAGAATATGAATTTTAATTGTAAAATTCATGTTCTATTATGAATGACTTAGACCCTTTATTTGATTTTTTAGTTTAATTCTAATAGATAGTATAATTGTATACTAATTATATTTTTTTAATAAAAAATTACCTTTTTATTTTTGATTTTTTGTTTTAAAATTTAAAATATTTGATATTCTATTTTTAATTGAAGTATTTGTGCTCTAAGTATAATATTTTAAACTTGAAAAGTCTAAGTATTACACGCTTACAAACTTCAAAGAGTCAAGATACAATTTACTAACAGAAATCAACGACAGCAGGGATCTAAGTGTTATACGCATGCAAATTTTAAGGGTCTGTATATAATTTCAAATGTTAAAAAGTTTGAATGATTAAATGACAATTTTTGAAAGGTCTGAATATAATTCTCTCTTAAAAATTTGATGTTAACTCATGTTTGGTAAAACCTTAAAATCACGTGATGATTTTTTAAAGTAAAAAACTCTAGTTTGTTGTGGATGATGACCCAATTTTGCACTTTGAACTAAAGATATTACATATTTAATTATGTTGATTTGCTAGTAGGGACGAAATGAGGATTTTATCTTAAAAAGAGTTAATAATGACATATATAAAAAATTAATTCAAACAAGATTATTCACAGTTATTGTTAATGATAAAATTTTATTTATAAAGAAACTATTAAATTTTATTTTTATGCAATACCATCAAAAAAATTAATTTTGAGCACAAAACTTAAAAATTGGTCCATACTATCATACAAATTCATTCTTGACAATACTATTTAACATGGGGATTTACTGTAAATACTAGTTTATCTCATTATTGCTGAGATAATGGCCTACTTCTTCACATCTATTACGCAATGCATGCAATTATTGATAGACAGAAGAATTATGAAATACACTTTCGTATACTAGCTAAAATGTTATGTATGTCTGGTAGAGATTATATTCACTCTAGTACCATAGTAGGTAAACTTGAAAGGGAAAGAGAGATCACTTTGGGATTTGTTGATTTATTATGTGATGATGTTATTGAAAAAAATCGAAGTTGCGGTATTTATTTCACTAAAGATTGGGTCTCTCTTCCAAGTGTTCTGCCCATGGCTTTGGGAGATATTCATGTTTGACATATGCCTGCTCTGACCGAGATTATTGGGGATGATTCCATACTACAATTTGGTGGAGGACTTTAGGCCACCCTTGGGGAAATGCACTAGGTGCTGTAGCTAATCGAGTAGNGACCCAATTTTGCACTTTGAACTAAAGATATTACATATTTAATTATGTTAGATTTGCTAGTAGGGACGAAATGAGGATTTTATCTTAAAAAGAGTTAATAATGACATATATAAAAAATTAATTCAAACAAGATTATTCACAGTTATTGTTAATGATAAAATTTTATTTATAAAGAAACTATTAAATTTTATTTTTATGCAATACCATCAAAAAAATTAATTTTGAGCACAAAACTTAAAAATTGGTCCATACTATCATACAAATTCATTCTTGACAATACTATTTAACATGGGGATTTACTGTAAATACTAGTTTATCTCATTATTGCTGAGATAATGGCCTACTTCTTCACATCTATTACGCAATGCATGCAATTATTGATAGACAGAAGAATTATGAAATACACTTTCGTATACTAGCTAAAATGTTATGTATGTCTGGTAGAGATTATATTCACTCTAGTACCATAGTAGGTAAACTTGAAAGGGAAAGAGAGATCACTTTGGGATTTGTTGATTTATTATGTGATGATGTTATTGAAAAAAATCGAAGTTGCGGTATTTATTTCACTAAAGATTGGGTCTCTCTTCCAAGTGTTCTGCCCATGGCTTTGGGAGATATTCATGTTTGACATATGCCTGCTCTGACCGAGATTATTGGGGATGATTCCATACTACAATTTGGTGGAGGACTTTAGGCCACCCTTGGGGAAATGCACTAGGTGCTGTAGCTAATCGAGTAGTTCTAAAAGCATGTGTACAACAAATTACTTTTGATATAAACCATATTTATATCCCTAATTTTTTTTTTCTTCTAAAAGTCACTTTATTTTTTCTCTACGATCATCAAAATAATCCAATAAAAGTGTAATTATCAGTATAAACGACACTCATCCTTGTGATAACATTCTAGATGGTTACTAAATATTAAATCATTAATCTTTTTTAATACACTAATAGTTCGTTTGGCATGGTGGATGAAAAATAGAATGATTGAAAATGAAAATGATACATTTTTTATTCTTCAAGAAAAAAATTCTTCATTCCTTTCTTTATGTTTGGTAAGAAGGATGAAAAGTATGAAAGATTGACTTTTTTTTTTGTGTTTGATAAAATGGAAAAAATATATTTCTTATTTTTTATTAAAAAAATATAAATACATATTTTACTATTATCAATATAATAAAGTAGAACAATTTTAAATCCAAGAGACAAAGAGCGGCTGAAATCGTTTTTTGATCAAAAAAGACATCATCCAATGGACGACGTTATCTCAAACTGTCTCAAATTATTAACGTATCAGTTCGTTTCAATCCAACGTACCACATTAACCCTTGAAATATTTTTCCCGCTCAAAATTTTTAATTTCTAAAATTAACATTCCTAGATTAATTCCTTCTCTTATGTCATGCAAATTCAATTAGTAAATAATCCCCTTACTCTGTGTGTCTCTCTCTCGCCCCATTTCACGGACACAAAGTCCCTCCTCCCCCAATCTTTGCCTAATCTCTCTGTCATCTCTCTCTCCCCGAATCTCACACAATCTTCCCCATCACTCTTCTCTCTCTCCCCATCGAGATAGAGATCATCTCCTTTCCATACCAAAAATTATCCCTAAAATATTGACCTAATGTCCCGCCCATTACATGCCTGAATGTCTCCCCCAATTCTCCTCCTTCTTCGTGCCTTCTCTTTTTCAACACTGTTCCTCTATCTCTCTTGCCCTTAACACCAAAGCAACATTCGGCCTCAATGCCTTCGCTCTGCGTCAAATGTATGTCGTCTGCCCTCAAATCACACACATACTTACATGCATACACACACACCCCATGCACGCAACACATACGATTGCACACACCCGTACCACCCCACTCCACCTCATCCCACCCCATCCCCACCTCTTTGATTTAGCAAACTCCCCACACCTCTGAATCAACCTTTTTTATTTGTTCCTTAAGTGGTTAATAGGCTTTTAATTTGAACAAGTAGTAGCCAAAGTTTTATATCCCACATGTTTGACAAAATTACCCAAAGAACTATGAACATTTTATTTTGATGATCTTACTTTTATGGGGGTTTTATAGCCCACGCCAACAACATCCCCAACCCAAAACCCCTGCCCACGCTACCAGCACCACCCTACACCATATCATCGTTGTCCACTTAAGACTATGATGCTTGGATTAATGTTTAATCAGTAGATTGATGGTAGTTTTATGCTAAAGCTAATTATTATGATATTAAGCTTGGGTTGTTTCGAATAATCCGCTCACTGACTGTATGTTTTTAGTGGTTAATAGGCTTTTAATTTGATCAAGTAGCCAACATTGGTTCCTACCAATTAGGAAGTGCACAACACATACCCCCAAAATGTATTGCATAATTGGTCTACCATTATAGTTTCTGGTATTAAGTTGATTTAATTATGTGTTGATTTACTTGGATTTAATTTCAATTTCAAGGTAAAATTGAAATTAAGAGTTAGTAACTTTAAGTGCTATTTGGCTTGCATGGCTGAATTGTGCAAAGGACACACATGTCAGAGGATGCTTTGACATGTGTGTCCTTTGCACAATCAACAGCTACAAGTACTGTGTAATGCCCGTGATCATCCACCAACATAGCATATTCTGGTGATGTCCCATCGCATTTCTTGCTCTATCCATCATTTGCACAGGTGACCCATTTGCTATATAACCTTTCAAATTCTCTAAAGATTGAGTATTTTATGTTTAAAATCATGGGTGTAATGGTGAGTTGCTGAGTTCTTTGTGTGGAGTTAGTAACTGTGTTATTTGGCTTGCATGGTTAAATTGTGCAAAGTACACGCATGTCAGAGGATGCTCAACCACCCAGATGGATTTAGAAGGTAAGGAATTTTTTGGATAGTCTTGCTATTTGTAAATCATTTTCTTTTTTTCTATTCTATCCTTCTATTTTGAATCTTCTTGCTCAATCAACAGCTACAAGTACTGTGTAATACCCGCGATCATCCACCAACATAGCATGTTCTGGTGATGTCCCATCGAAGTTCTTGCTCTGTCAATCATTTGCACTGGTGGCCCATTTGCTATATAACCTTTCCATTTCTCCAAAGATTGAGTATTTTATGTTTAAAATCATGTGTGTAATGGTGAGTTGCTGAGTTCTTTGTGAGCATTCACCAAAAAGATTGCAAAATTTTGGGCATTCTTATTGAAACCACCCTTTTAAATTATGGGCATTCTAATTGATCTTATTGGGTATGGTAGTAAATGTATTTCCATTTTTGTCTTACCCCAATTTTGTGCAATAAAGGTAAAGACTATAGAATTAAAAGAAGATTCCAAAGCATAAAATTTGAAGGGTATAACGTCCACCAAATTTACTTGCGTTGGTTATAAAGTCTTTTATAAATTTTGAAGGGTAGATGTTTGATGAAAGACGTAGAAGAGTATAGTGAGATTGTTTACAAATTTTTGGTGTACATCATTATTATGTTTTCAAGATAGTCATGAGTAATTAGGGAAATTAAAAAAACAAAGTATGTAACAAACACTGAACCTAATTTTTTTTTATCATACTACTCTTGAACCAATATAAATATTCGTCATTTGGTTCCTACTGAATTGGTTGCATTATTTGTACAAATTGAATTAGTTTCTTGCATTCAAAATTGAGCATACTGATGAAGCCAATATTGTCACTTAGAATACTTTCGCCTCACATCGTAGGGCAATATGAAGATTTGGAGAATGAAGCTTCTTGATTGTAACAAAAAAATTTGGGTAAATAATGATTTCATAAAATTGTGATTACATCCAAAACAATGCCGACCAACTTGATCATTTTGGGCTTTGATAGTAGTCGTGGCTACACTGTTGCTGTTGTTGTAAGTTATATCTATGTATGTGTTGGGGGGTGTGCCTTTGGTTCTGTTCTCAATGAGTTTTGACTGTTCTCTTTTTACAAATTGATGTCGTAACTAATGACACGTTGCTAATTTTTTTCTGTGAACTGTGTTCATTTTGAAAATATTGGCATGATGCCATTGGCTTTCCCAGATTAGGAGGTTTACACTAGAATCGTGCAAAGTGAACACGTATATTTACAATTCGAGAGATACTAACGAGAATTAAATCCAAGACATCTAAGTTGGCAATTTGTCCGAGACTAACTCTTTCCACTGGACTATCCGAATGGGTCATATTGTTATATCTTCATTAGAATTGACAAGAAAGGTGGTCAACTTTTCAAGTTTACTAGGGCATTAGCATAATTGAGATTTTTGCGATGCCTTTTTAAATTGTGAAAAGGTCTTAATTCTATATCATAACAATGTTTATATATGGATTTGTGTTGGTAAATGCAACAGACTTGGGCGGTAAAGTCAATAAAATCTATTTTACCATGGCTTGGATTGTGTTGAAGTTCTTTGGAAGTTGATTTGGGTCTATTCGTTTGTGTTGGATTGGATACATTGCGTCTTTTTTTTGAGGTGGAATCGAGAAAGCTAACGAATAGCGATTGTGAGACAAATTGTGAATGTTGTGCAGTTCACTAGAATTTGATGTAGGGAAGAAAATTTTGATGTAATTTTTGTGTTACTTAGTGTCTTCAGACACGAGCAATTTCTAGTATTTATATATGAAACTAATGTATATATAATATGTAATTGATAAATATGATATATAGACAAATAATATATATTTTAATACAATTAATTTTTTATTCACTTTTTTCTTAATTTTGGAGAGATTGATTTTGGTGAGTTGGAATGAAAGTTAATCTATTCACTTTTCTATCCGTCCTATTTTCTTTCTTTACCAAACATAATGTTTTATCTATCCGTCAAATTTTTCATCCTTCCAACTTTCTATCCTTCAATTTTTTTCATTGTACCAAACAAAGCATAAGTGAGTTTCATTAAGTATTTTAAAAAGTTAGAGTTTAACAATAAAATTTTCTAAAAATATGAGGGAGACAATGATAATTTTTAAAATTTGAGGAGGGGGCATGGCTACCCTTGCCCCTCATAGTTCCGTCATTGTTGAATGTTGACAGCTAAAATTATTATTTCTTAGTACGATACATACCTCAATAAAATAAGTTCAATTAGGTGGAATCAAAAATTAATACGGTTAACCAGACATTCGCCAGCTTGGTCCATCATCGTAGTGGCCCATTTATATATAATAAAATAGGAAAAATTAGAAGAGGATACACTAAATCGAGTTTAATTGTAAAAAAATACACAAACAACAATGTAAAGTAATGAAATTCTTAATTTTAGATCTTAATTATGTACAAGTGCATAATTTGAAAATTTCGGATTTTCGTTTAACATTCGTGTCCTTTCTTAAATCATGTGATTATTTTTGGAAACTATTTTTTTTTAAATTATATTTATGCATTAAAAATCTCCTAACTTAATGGAAGATTTGATTCTTCTTTTTATTCTGAGGATAAATCAATTGACTTAAATTTTAAAATTTTCAACAATATCATTTATTGTCTTCTTTTTCTTCTGCGTGGAAGCAATTTATCAGTACAAGTCCGAAATATTATTTCATCCTTATCATTCAATCTAAACAATTGCAATATTTGAATTCATGACTCTATTAGGTTTATGTCTGTCATTTTTTATGGTGATTATACAATTTTTTTTATATGAGAATACCATAACTGAAATTCATCATGTATATGCGTTTATAATATGATAATAACAGTGTAAAAAATTACTTACACAAAACATTGTACTGTCACATTTTATCAAAAATATATTTGCATATAACTTCATTGTAACAGTCCAGCTCTATTTTGAATTTGTTACCATATCCACAAAATTACTGAACACTATCTGTGTTATAGTGTTACACTGTCTTTCTTACACAGACGAAGTTACATCTACAATGGTGGACCATTAGGATTTTCCTTTCAAAGACGAAACCCTATAGATGTTCAGAGAATGATTTAGGTCTTCTTGTCAAGGAAGATAAAGCAGTTTTTTGATAAGAAGAAGAAGCGGTAACCATTTTCCAAAGATGAAGTTTTTTGCGAATTAATGTTCCTAAAATTTAGCGGTTAAGTCTTATCATTGTGTACCTAATTAATTTTAAGATATATTCCTAAAACCATTTTTAGGAAAGTAATGTTCCTAAAATCCATCAGTTAAAGCTTATTACTGTGTACCTAATTAATGTTAAGATATATTCCTAAAACCGTTTTTAGGAAAGTAAATGGGCAAATAAGTCTTTGTATCTTAACGATATACTTTTTTACAACACATTTTTTTATGTGTATTTTTTTACAATTATGTCTAATTAAGTGTACCAACTTCCAAAGGATCCAATAAAATACATTGTAAACCTATTACGAGATGAACTGATTTTAAATATGAGTCACATATTAATTAAATAAATTGTTACATGACATGAAATATGATTTTTCCAACATATCAAAAATTAAAAAAAAATATATTAATTATGTTGTTTAAAGAGAACAATAATAGTTTTGTAAGTATAATAACTTTCTTGTATTATGTTGTTTAAAGAGAACAATAGTTGTTTAGTAAGTATAATAACTTTCTTGTAGTTTTCATACTTTTCAAATTATAAATTTGAGATTTTCTTATGACTTTCTAGAAAAAATTTCATTCTAAACAAACACAAGAAAGAAAATATGTTGTTCTTTTCTTTCACTTTACTTTTTACTGTATTTTCACTTCTCATTAAGGCTGATAATTAAGCTGAGTTACTCGGGCTTGACTCGAACTTGACTCATCTTCTAAACGAGCCAAGTTTGAACATTTTTTTAGACTTGTTTAGAAAAAGAGTCTAAAAAGCTCGGCTCGTTTATATGTAAAATAGTCCAGGTACTTAGGTTCGGTTTAGTTTGGGCTCGGTTCGGCTCGGACTCAACTCATTTTCAAAACTAGCCGAACTTGAATAATTTTTTACACTCTTTTAGAAAAAAGCGAGCTTGACAGGCTTGACTCGAAC